CGGGTGCGGGTGCGGGTGCGGGTGCGGGTGCGGCAGGCATGGACACCATCCAGCAGCAGCACCGAGACGTGTTACACGTCAGTCACTTGCGCGCATGAGACGGCGTGCATCATGTTTCATCTTCACTCACACAAATTGGCCGGTACGCAAAAGGATCTGACCGTGCCGACCCGCGATCGAGGAGGTTCGCATGCAGCGCACAGACAGGGCAGGCATCCCGTCAGAATGCAGTGCGCGGGCGGTACATATATCAGGCAAGTGACCGAGTCATGTCTCACCTTGCTGATGGATGGAATACCATAAGTCTTGAACAGACTGAATTCCAGCGACTTTAGCGTGACGAAAGGTTGTTCCAGCGCGCTCATGTCTTAGCACGTCGACGTAAATGGCGAGACGTGATCAGCGAAATGTAAAACACGAGGCTGTCCGTGCAGGTATACACGGCGGCGGGTGAAGTATACAGCTTCTCCCGCGGCTCCTCCTCTCTCTCATGACTCACTTCGGAAGATGTACTGTGCATCTCGCACACCGCGCAAACCGCTCTTGTTCATGCGCTTCAGACCGCGCTTCTCATCCTCCTTGCTCAGAGCGTACTTGCCCTCGAAACGCTTCTCTACGGCATCGCGGTGATTGAAGCGAACGGTGCGAACGTAGGCCATGCGTGCTGCGAGCAGAGCGAATATCAGTCCACTCATGGCCCATGGACTGGCTGTGACGTTGAGCAACATGTTGCAGTGCGGTCACGCGAGGAGGATGCGCTTGTTGTCGAAAAGGATGGAGAGCGGGAGGACGAGTCAGGTTGGCACGTTCCACAGGGATAAGGCTAGCTAGCTTGGAGTCTTTGAGATCTCTTGCCTCCTCGTCAAGTGGCGCGCCAATGTAGGCACTACAAGTATGAGGGTCATGAAGAGGCTTGCACCCACGACTTGCACTCACACTCACGACTTGCTGATTGATACAAGAACATTGAGAACGCGCCATCTGCCCAGCTAGCACGCACCCGAACTGACCTGTGCACCAATGAGCATCGGTAGAAATGTAACCGGTCAAAGCTTAGCGTGGGTGCCGGATAAAGCCCGCATGGCAGCGCGTTGCCTTGCTTTGCTTTGCTTTGCTTGGCTGTGTGCTGCTGGCCCTTACCCCGCATCTGCACAGGAAGCGTGGAGTCGTGACAGAAACAGGTGCGGTGCCGCCGTCTCCCACAACCGGCTGAGAAAGCGGTGCGGCGGAAAATGGTGAGGTGAGGAGAGGGGTCCCGCCATACGTGACATCGCCCGCACGCACCCATGAGCGCAGCTTCCATCTCGAGGTACTTTGACTGCGTATGCCATTCGGATTCCGCAGCCTCGACGAGCCTCGTTATTTGGACGTTTGTGCTTCGTAAAGCCCACACATCCTCCCCGTGAAAGGAGGGTCTTTTCCGTCTGGCTGTTCGGACATGGTATACAACGTCCAGCTCGTAGCAGGCTTCGCCAGCTGCTACGCAGACGCTGGCCAATGATGACTGGCGCGAAAAGACTGGTGCTTGTCGTCCGTCTGGGTGCAGCCAGAAACCGGCACGCGAGTGGCCGGACTGGCCAGTCATGACGGCCCGACAGTCATGAGTCGAGCTTTTGAAGTGACACGGCAGTCAGTGAGTGTGCGAAATCGCGGAGCTTAAGCTACTGCCATACCGCATTCAAGTCGTAGCTACATGCGTTGCTTGGTGTCGCTCGCTTCGGAGAGCGAGGCTGTGTGTTCCGTCCCAACAGCGCGCATACCTAACCCACGGCAAGCTTGCGCGGCGTCGCAATCATACTCGTAACGGCATTCACAATGGAGACAAATCAACAATGCATTTCAATGCGACTCGTGCTGCTAGTGCTGCTACTTGGCCAACCAAGCTCCTACCACCTCCCACCACTTGTCCGGATTGTCGCACATTGGCAAGTGGCCAGACGCGGGGATGGCTTCGAACTGCACATTGGCGCTCGAGTCTTGGTCCCGCACCTGCTGAGCCAGCGCTCGCATCGTCTCTGGTAGTTTGCCGTCGTGCTGTCCTGCGATCAGCAGAGTCTTCGTCTTCGCCAACGCATCCAGCAGACCAGCTTGAAGCAGATCGTAGCTCTGCAGTGCTCGGGCACCCTTTTCGAACCCCTCGGCGGACGTTGTGGATACGAGTTCGTGCAGCTTGTCTCTGACTTCGAGAGTCGCGTTTGTCTGCTCGCCAAACCAGCGAGGCACAGTCTGATCAGCCAAATGCGACATGGACTCTCTCCTTGCCAAGTCTATCCTGTCGTTCCAAGCCTGAACATTGGCGCTAGGAGTCGAGGCTTGTGTGTCGCATGCAATAACGCGTTCGGCTAGTCGCGGATGTCTGACTGCAAAAGACAGCGCTGTAGCACCACCTTGACTTACGCCGATGACTGCGTACGCCTTGTCGATGCCGTACGCAGAGAGGATTTCGGCGACGTCATCAGCCAGGATTTCCATGGTACATGCTTCACCCGGAACGCTAGACCTTCCGTGCCCTCTTTGATCGTACCAGATTACGTTATAGCCTGCCTTTTGAAAGTGCGGCAAGACCCAGTTCCACATTGTGAGGTTTGTCATCAGAGAGTTGACAAGGATGATCCAAGGAGCGTTGACTCTCGCGAAGCTTACGCTACTCGCCAACCTGCATCCACCTCCTGTCTTGACGTCGATGTAGCGATAAGAGGTGTCGTCTGATGCTGTGACAGGAGAGAAAGTGTCCATACCGGGCACTGGCACGGGTGCAGCTGCTTTGTCATCGATGTCCAGCGCCACTAGAAATCGCGAGACCATGTTGTACACTGCGGTGGTAGCCACTGCCTCGACGACCTTTCTATTCGCTGCAGTCTCGTCCTCTCCATCTTTTTGAAAAGCGGATCTAGCTGCCTCGAACGTCTCATCCGATACATGCACCTTGGTCGTCATTTCGTCTGCTAATGAAAGCATTGCAGCTTGGATGCTCGACAACGAGCCAGCTCCTGGCCTGGTAGAAGACAAAGCTGGCACGCCAAGGTCGCCAATACGAGTAAGTTGCTCCGTGCTGACACCCTCTTCGCGCGCCACCTTTTCGTGCTGGATCCATTCAAAGGCTGCTTTGTTTCTAGCGGCGACCCTCAAAATCTTGATGAGAATGATGAAAGCACAAGTAAGCAAGGCAGTGTTGAGAATTCACGTTGGCCTGCTTTGCGTCGACACCGGCGTCGGAAGGAACGCACCATGATTTCTCGCAAATCGCCCTCCAGCTGACTACCCGTCCTCACGGCTCCTAGCAGTGTGTTCCATCCTTGAGCGATGGGCGGAGCGTTGAGCAGCATGCCATCAAGAGATGTCAGTCCCCTCGCCCCCCGTCTCTGACGGATGGCATCTGCCACAGCATCGCTCCCGGCAGGGGGAAAGACGTAAGGTACTCGAGGCATCGTAGAAAAGATCTGACTTGAAGATGCTCTGCTCAAAATGATCTGAATGCTTGACGATGCTGGTGGCAAAAGAAGGAGGAAGGGAGGGCTTCAAGTCTTGGAGCAGGAAGCAAAGTCCTGCTGGGGCGTCCCGCAACTTAGCCGGGCGCGCGCCTCCACCTAGCTCCGATCGGAACGGAAAAAAGTCGGTCCGTGCTGTGACCCAAGCATGCAGCTTGCGGCGCGATACCAGAGCAGCAGCAGGGAGCATGCATGAGGAAGCGCGGGGATGAGCATGCGCATGGGCGTGAGCGGATGCTCGCCCCCGCGGATGCTTGCCCAGAACCACTCTTGACTATACTTCATAGACACTCACGACTTTCATCGACTTCTCGCAAGCATGAAAGCAATCAATCGAGCATCGTGAACCAAGAATCACAACGTGAACAAGGCATTCCTACTTTTAAGTCAGACGACGCAGGTCTGTCGATGCGAAAAAGCCATTTGGTCTGAACCGAGGGCAGCCAATGTAGATCATTTGAGGCTTTGTATGCAAGTGACACAATCACGTCCTGACTGACAAATTTGCAAGGCCAAGGTCAGAAGAGGAGCTCTAAAGCAGGAAATGCATTGTCAAGCGTCCATTGGCGCCCCTATGCGAGCTTTGCAAGCTCCTTTGAAATCATCTTCACCCAGCGGTGCACGCAACAGCGCAATAGTCGGCAGCTCAAGAGCTAAATTCCGACGAGGGCCGCCGACCACGCAAGTTCGCTCGCTTGCCGGCCCTTTTGGCAAAACGGCACCAACGGCGACACTTTGCCGTTGCAATACTTCATGCATCTCGCCATCAATCTCGACAGCCATACACCTCCCGAGCCACATCATCCCATCTGCTCCCCTTTACTTTGTATTGGCCAGCATAGCGCGCTTCCATATCGTGTATTCTGCTCCCAACAATGACCAAGCTATGCAGTGGTGCTCCAAACGCTGTATGAGCCCTCTCTTCCGCTCTCTGCGCTCTTCGCTTGTCCAGCTCCGCCTCCGAAGCCAGCTCGTCCGCATCGTCCATCTCTTCCTCTGCTCGTGCTTCTTCTGGCGTAGCTGCGGCCAACGCGAGCAGCTCAGCTAGCGTACCGGCAAAGATGCCCTCGCTTTCCGCCCCCATTCTGCACAGCGCTACCGCCAGAGTGCTTTGCGCGTTCAAAATGGGAGCGACGGGAAGGGAAGAGGTTGCCAGACCTTGTGAATGCGCTTCAGAAGCCGAGAGTAGCTTTTCGATGAGCTGAGGGATGAGCATGTAGCGAGGTGGTTGGTACCTTTGGATGCCCCTGAAGCGCAGACGGTTTGCAAGGCAAAGAGGACTGTCAGGATGCTCTGCGATTGTGGTGCATGCTTCGACGCCTCGGCTGCTCACCTGGCCATATCCTCTTCGCTCTGTTCTCTCACCTTGATGTCGCCCAGGACCAAGGTGTGCATGCCATGCTGAAGGTTCTCTGCGATTCTGGGCAACCAACTGTCCACCTGAGCAAAAGGCACGCTGACAGTCTGTCCAAAGTTGTAAGGTTGCAAGCCCGAACTCGCAATGGCCGTCATGATGCTGGCATTGTGCACCACTCGCACAGTCGCTCCCGAAGCTTTTGCGCGAAGGATCAAGTCGGTGTGCGTGGTTGCTGAAAGCGGATCGCCGACTACGCAAAAACTGACATTGCCATCTTTGCAGTCTCGGATGATGTCGTCCGCCTCCAGCTCTACCGTCTCTCGATGCGCCAGGATGACCGATTTCCCCCACAACTTCTCCAGTGCGCTCGTGTCGGAGAGCATGAGGATCGAGGTGTAGGCCTCCAGATAGACGCGAGAGGAGGATCGGATGGCTTCCAAGCCGCGAAGGGTGATGTCCTTCTCATCTGCCAGGCCTAGGCCTATGACGTACAGCACCATGGTGAGCACTTGGCGAGCTTCAAAGTTTGGTGCGTCGAGGATGAATGGTAAGGATATCAAGTATGGCCGTGCTTTCGTCTTGCGACCGACGCTCCTCTATCCGTGTCTGGAGCTGTGCCGGTTTGAGAAGGATGAAGGCGAGGAAAGTGCGCGAGATTTACGATTGCAAAGTTGAACCAGGCCGGCTGCGTTGTCACTGCAAGTAGGACGAAGGTGCGTAGTCAGAGTGCGGTGCGAGTCCATGCCGGCCCTGCGTAGGTTGGAGGTGAAGGCATGCAGAGACCGAGCTGCGCTGCGCGCGTTTGAGATTGATCAGGTCAAACATCGCGATTTTCATTTGAGCGAGGCGGTGCTGATTTTCGCGCACGCGACTCAGCGCGCGCGTCTGCCGCGGCGTTGCACTCGTGCACAGGCGAAAGTAGGTATGGATACAATCACGAATTGGTATACAGGCCTGGTGGTGGCGCTGAGCTGCATGCTCATGACCCTTCACTTCTCCACGCTCTCCCTACTACCATCCGTCACCCTGACCAGGTCCAAGATCGCTATAGGCGCAGCTCTGAGGTCACGGCAGTCATGACAACGCGAGAGTAAGAAGTCAAATTTTCGCCTTGCACGCCGTCAAGATGTCACTCGAAGAGCTCTTCAACGTCAGGCGAGCCGCCGCAAAGGCTCGCCGATTCGGTGGTGCGGAGGAGGACGAAAGGGCTGCCCAGCACAATCATGGATACTCTGCAGCAGACCGAACTGATGCCGTTGTGGTTTGCGCTTTGTGAGTCGCGACCTCTTCCGCGTCGCCTTCCTGTCGCCGTGCGCCGCGCTTATCCATCGGTGCCTGCTCCCCCTCTGACCCGACCGACGTAGCTGCTCAAAGCAAAATTCGGCATACACATGTCCTCAGTGCAACGCTCGGTACTGCAGCCTGGCATGCTTTCGCTCACCGCAGCACGACAGATGTTCCAAGCCTTTTGTGGATCGCGTGCTGCGAGAGGAGCTGGGAGAAGAAGGTGTTGCAGGCGCACCTGGCTTCAAAGCGACGGATGCAGAGCGTACGGAGGTGATGGAGCTTCTCAGAAGGTTTCGACAACAGCGAATCGAGGATGTGCCCGGAGTCCATGCTGATGACGCATCGGATGAAGACTGCGATAATGGTGATGCGTCTCTACAGCTACCCACCGATTTTGATCCCGGTGAGCAAATAGCTTCCCGAGCACGCGCATGTATGCTTCATTTGCTCACATTTCCAATTTTTTGCGCTGGCTGGCAGAGAGCGCGGATACTGCACAGATCATATCGGCACTGTCACATACACAGCGCGACGCGTTCCTTGCTTTTGCCCTTCAAGATCACAGACGCGCGCGCAATGTCGAGGAGGACGGACCGTGGTGGACTGCGTCGTCGTCAAAGCGAAGGCTGCCAAGTCGGAAAAGCAAAGAATTTGGTAATGAGGCGAGCAGATTGAGACCGCCAATGGAAGCCGCATCGCTGCGCTACAACCTGCTGGCTGTACTCTTGGTATACGCCCACCTCATTCGACACTTGGACGTCTCCGCACTTCAGGAAGTGATGCTCTTTGATGATAAAAAGAGATCTCAGCAAGCATCCGAGACACCGAATACGGGGGCTCACGGGACTGTTCCGACGGAAGGGGAGCAAGAGTACGCTGGTATGCCACCTCTCGAGGATGTGCCTGACACAGGAGGCCAGTTGCTCGCAGCCGTGCCCGAGCGGCCTACCGAGCCATATCAAGGACCAAAAGTTGAGAGCGGTGTTCGAAGCCCCGTCCCGGCGATGAGCCGCCCTGAAAAAGACTTGAAACATGATGCGCTGTCATCGATCATGGCACAAGAAGCGGCGACACAGAAGAGCGTGGCAAGGGACATTGCGGCGCGCGCACTGCCATTCGTAAACGCAGTCAAGGGCGAACAGTCTAGGACGCAATTTGCGAGCGTCGAAGAGGTGGCCTTTGATGTCTTGAGTCGGCTTGGGAGGCATTGGCGTGAATCAGCAGCACAGATGCTCGCGCTCCTTCAAGACGCCCTTCATTTGATTTTTCCAGCTGTAGAAGAGGAGACTGGATCGTCGATGTGGGAGCTCGCACTCTCGGACCTTGCGCTGGTCCTTTCGCAGCACGGCAGGAAGAAGATGGTCTTTTACGCGGCAATGTGGCGGACCGCAGTTACAGACAAGATCAAACAAGGTTTTAAAGAAGAGATCAAATCCCATTGCGAAATACTGCAGGAAGAATTGAATCGCGCGGTAGAGGAGGAAAGGCTGGATGCGGTGAGGGAGAGAGAGGAGAATGCTGCGAACATGCTGAGCGACCGCCGTGTACCAGCTGCAAATAGCAGAATTCGGGAAATGCCATAGCTCCTGAGTCTCGAAGCAAAGGAATCAACTCAAGAGTGAGCAGAGACTCATTCGTAGAGCAGACTATCAGCAGTGTGACAATGAATTCGCAGTCAGTATAGCAGTAGTGAAGCTTGGTGGAGAGCTATAGCTGTCTTGGATGTGTGCTGTGCTGTGTTGGCTGAGCTTGTGCCTGCCCCGCGTCACGTTGGTGAGAATGCCGCCGCCACGTGGTGTCTGTCGATGGTCTGTTTAGATGCACGCGCGGCGGCGCCTTCATGAATTCACAAATTTGTACAGTGAAGGCTCTGCTGCGAACGCAGAACACGAAAGTTGAGGATTTCGGTCTGTTGTAATCAATCATGTCCGTGGTGCCAGGAACATGGCTGAAGCAAGCACGAAGCATATTCATGCTGAGTTGTATTCGTGATTTGAATGCTAGCGAGCGAGAAGGGCCTGACACAAGAGATCACAATTTGCGTTGATGCCGCCTGCCAGGGATTTTGAAAGTCATAGATGAGTCTAGCCTTGGTCTCCTTCCATGACTCAACAAGACTCTGTAATCCCTGTCCGCAATCCCAAATGTGAAGTCAAATCCAGCAGTCAACAGTGCTTGGCCTCGCCGCGCATAGTCGCCATGGGGTCGTCAGACAAGCTCGTCGGGTCCTGCCTTTGCTGGTCCTGCAGAACGAATATTTGTTTGCGAGCGAGTCGAGGGTGGAGTGTGGTCACGTGTTTCCAATTTCTCTTGTTCTCTCTTGCCGTCCGGCGCTTCGGCCCGCACAGAAAAGGCCTATACAGATGAGTTGTGGGCAGGTATATTGCGAGAGCAGCAGCAGCAGCAGCCATGCAGCGAAGAGCGGGAGAGGGGGAACGAACGCACAGTCAGCAGCTTATAAGCTGGGTGCAGTAGTCTACAGTGTATGTGTGTGTAGCAGGCTCGAGCAGCATCAAGCATGCTGCAGCAGCCGCTTGCTTGGTTGCCGTGCGACTGCACTGCTTTGGCGCCTACAGCTTCGCGGGGCCTTGCATTTGCATGGCTGCTGCTGTAGCCACGCGAGATGGCTGCTGCTCGCAGGGCTTACGCGGTTGCGCAAGTCACAGTGCTGTGGCTGCTACAAGTCACGAGTATCCGGTGCGGTACTAGCCATGAGCGAGACAGCAGCTATGTGACTGGGCCAGACCAGCATCAGGCGCGGGCAGCAGCAGCAGCAGGAGCAGGCAAGCAGGCAGGCATCAGGCAGAGAGGCAGCAGCAAGCGCGTGAGCGCGGCTCTTCGGCCTCCAAAGGTCTGAGCGATCTGCGCGAGCAAAGTCGAGACGAGAGTCAGAGTCCATCTTCAAGTCGCGAGTCCTCCTGATGGCAGCGAAGAGGCGCGGCAGACGATGCACACGCAATTCACGATTCGAGATCTTCAAAATTTCCGCTTTGCTCCTTGTACGGGTCCATGACGAACCACCAAAGCAAGTGATTAGTGAAACGTGGGCAAGATCGCTTGCTACTTGCACCACAAACGCCACCTCATTGCACCCATCCTCGACACCAGACATTTGGCATAAGTCCTGGCCTGTTCGAAACAGAGCGGCTCGATTCGTTTGCACTTCTCTGCTATCCCGGCCTTTACCGCTACACTCTCTTTATCACCTACAGCGTATTTGACCTCGCTCACTCAGCGTCTTCTGCGCTGGTCGACTCGATCTGATTCCAGCTTGTTCTTGCGTTGCTGGCCCAGCGTTTCATTCCGCTGTCCAACACGCGGAGACCGAGATGGCCAAGGCCAAGGCGCCAGTGAGGGCTCAGCCTGCTGTCACGGCTCCGCCGGCCAGTGCTCAACAGCAGTCGCCCAGAGCAGCGCCTATTACGGAGCACAACTCTCCTTCGACCCCCTCTGCTACCGCTGCAGCAGCCGCTGCCGCTGCTAAGAAGAAGAAAAAGAAGGCCAAAGGAAAGAAGGCGGACACGGACGAGTATGCAGATGATACAGGCTCCCCCACGCTCGGAGATGGCGTGCCCCTGAGTGTCGGCAATGGAGGCCTGGAGGGTGTCAATCACGCCCACTCACCGCATGCTGGTGCTCGCAAAGATCCTTACTCGACTGCCGCGCAAGCACAGGCAGACTTGCTCGCCACAGCGAGCGATCTTTACCGCCGCATCGAGGCAGACCCTCAAGGCATTCCGGACGATGATGCGTACTGGACATCGCTGCCAGCGCACCTTCGCACTTTCATTCGCAATGCGTTGCCCTTGGGTCAGCTGCCTGCGTCTGCTCAGATGAACCCCAACGATCCCAAGTCCCGGCAAGCATCCACTCAAGCGATGATCGCTGTCGCGCAGCAACTCGCTCAAGCCGCGCATGCCTCTCAGCGCCATCTGCAGCAGTACCCTGGCGGCACACATCCTTACACCGGCCTGCCGTTCGACCCTTCCATCTTTGCAGACTTGGCCATGCATCCGGACACCGCACTGCCCCTTCACCCGCACCCCAACTACACTACAGACAGTGGTGCTCAGCTGCACTACACCACAGGCGCGCCAGGCTCGAATCCACCCCCCACTCAGCCACCTGGAGAGCCTTTACCGGCGCCTGTGTTGTTGGTGAATGAGTACGGAGAGGAGACGGGGGAGTATGATGATGAGTACTACTCTGATGAAGAGCTGGATCACGCCGATGCGGCGGCTGCGGCGGCTCTTGACCGGGGCTTGATCCAAGGGCCGGATGGTCAATGGGTTCAGGATGTTTCCAGAGCAAATCTCACTAATGGGGCGCCACAGTCGGCTGCTGCGAAGAAAAAGAACAAGAAGAAAAAGAAGAAGGGAGTCGGGGCCAATGCAGGGCAGGAACTGCTGCCCCCTGTTCCGGCACCGGCACCTTTGGCACCTTCTGCTCGTAGCCCAGCAGCTCCGCCGGCACCACAGCCCCCTCCGGCGCCGCGGTCGAATGCTCCCGCCAGTAACGCACCTCCGCCACCAAGTTCCAGAGCGGCAGGCAAGCAGCCCATGACGTTCACGTCCAACGCTGCGGGCAAGGCTCCAGCGCCACCTCGAGCAACCGCGAATGGACATGCGCATTCAGCAGCTTCAGGGAAGAGGCCTGCTTCCGCGACCGGCTCATCGCATGCTCACGGCTCAACAGCGAATGGACATGTGAGCCAGCCGCCGCGGATCTGGTCCACGAGTACTGCTGAAGAGCGGGAGCGGATCAAAGAGTTCTGGCTAGCTCTCAATGAGAAAGAGAGGAGGAGCTTAGTGCAAGTGGAGAAGGACGCGGTGCTGCGCAAGATGAAAGATCAGCAAAAGCATCATTGCTCGTGCGCGGTCTGCGGGCGCAAAAGGAATGCGATAGAGGACGAACTCGAAGTGCTTTATGACTGCTACTATGAGGAGCTGGAACAGTATGCCAATCATCAGCGCCAATATGTGTCAAGCGGCGGGACGATTCCGCCTCCTCCCGGTCCGGGTCCGTTCCCTGGCTCTGTGCAAGTGGACAGCAACGGCATGGTCATTGAGGGCAATCAACCTAGCAAGACCACTGCTGTCACTGCTGCTGCTGCGGAGCGACAGCCCACAGTCAGACAGCCTCACAAAAGAGGTCCACCGGCCCCTCCAGACGAGGGTTACACTGATGAAGAGCTCGAAGGCTCGGAAGAGGACTACGAGTATGAGGATGAGGAAGGGGACGAGGAAGAAGGCGACCCTGAGCTTGACGAGCATGATGGCAAAGGTGGCGCGCGTCGCCGAAGGGCCCCTGCGCCCGCTGCGAACAATGCTGCCGGTCGAGACTTCCTCAGCTTCGGATCATCTTTGACTGTCAAAGGTAGGTAGGGTTTTTGGGACCACGAGCTCCGACGATGTCTAGGTCTCGCAAGCTTTTGAAACTATGCTGACTCGACGTCACTCTGCAATCCTCGCATCTCTGACTCACCCTCCCGCCGCTAAACGCCTTCTTCAATACTTGTGCTCGCTGCTGCCTGACCCACGATGCTACTTGCTGCACAACAGCAGGAGGAATCCTCACAGTAGCAGACGATCTCCTGAAGAATGATGGGCAGAAGTTCATCGAGATGATGGAGCAGCTCGCTGAGCGTCGTGCAATTCGCGAGGAGGAGGTTCGAGAAGAGCTGGACGCATCGCGGGATGGCGATGGCGAGGCCGATGACGACGAAGCAGACGATGAGGAAGATGATGAGGACCTCGAAGACCCTGCTGTGAGTGTTTCAGCCGCCCGGAATTTGGCAGATCGGACTGTTGATCGACGGCAAACCTCTGCGCATGACCACAGGATGCTCTTACAGATGAGCAGAGGATGGAGGAAGGTCGTCGCATGTTCCAGATCTTTGCAGCCCGCATGTTCGAGCAGCGCGTGCTGCAAGCGTACCGAGAGCGTGTAAGTAGGCGGGCGCATATGGCCTGCCGGCCTGCAGAGCAGCGCCCTGACTGGGATGATCTGCCGATGTCACACAGATTGCCCAAGAACGACAGCTGCAACTTCTCCGCGAACTCGAAGAAGAGGATGCTGCCGAAAAGGAACGCGATGCGAAGCGAGCCAAGGAGAGCTTGCGCAAGAAGGACAAGAAGAAGTGAGTTGCAAACGGCATAGCCCCTTTGATCAAGCCAGTTAATCCTCGATTCTATCTTGATGCATCTAGGCAAGCGAAGGCTGTCAAGGAGGAGGAGCGTGCCAAACGCGATGCCGAGAAGGCTGCTGCGGAGGCTGCTACCCGAGAGAAGCTTGAGAAGCAGCGCGAGGCGGAGTTGAAGCGTCAAGAGGAAGTGCGGCAGAAACGCGAGGCTGAACGTAAAGCGCAGCTCGAAGAGAAGGCGAAGAAGGACGAGGAGCGACGTAAGCGTTTGGAGGAGCAGGAGGCGGAGAAGGAGCGCAAGCGCAAGGAGAAGGAAGAAAAGCTTCGTCTCGAACGCGAAGCGCGAGAGGCAAAGGAGCGGGAGCGCAAAGCAGCCGAAGACGAAATCAGGCAGCAGAAGGAGCTGAAGGAGAAGGAAGAGGCCGAGCGAAGAGCCAAGAGGGAGAAAGACAGAAAGGCAGCCGAGGTTGCCAAAGCTGAGAAAGAAGCAGCTGAGCGTGCGGCTTCGCAGGCCAAAGCAAACCAGCTTGCGCAACAACAGCGAGCGGCTGCTGCGGCCGCTGCAGCTGCCAAGGCACCTGTCCCTTCGCCTCCTGAATCCACGACCACTACGGCTCCTGTCTCGCCCTCGGGATCTCGAGCCCAAGTTCCGGTGTCGCCTGTTCCCAGATCTCCTGCTGCAGCCGCTGCTCTGGCCGCTGCTTCGGCCTCTTCACCGCGAAGTAGAGGTGCAACTTTGCCATCTTCTCCAGGCTCTGCCATGGGGAATTTTCATCAGGGATCAGTATCTGGCCAAGGATCATCTCTGGCCGGTCTCGGTCGCTCCCAGCCGCCAGCTGCCCGCCCTCCGCAGAGCTCGGCAGGTGTGCAGCTGCCCTCAGCTCCTCACGCAGTCGCACATCAAGGCCAACACCCGCAGGCGCCTGTGCAAGCGACCAATTTCTCAAGCGGCTCTTCCTTGCCGGCTCCTCCTCAAGGATTGCCTGCTAGGCCGATTCTGAACGCGGCTCAGCCGCAGCAACCTGCTGGTCTCCCGACATCAGCGCCGAGCTCTGCGTCGCTCCCGCGAGCCCCTGCTGGTGCAGCCACCTCTGCCAGCCCTGCCACTGGCCCTGCGTTCTCTTCTGCAGTGGGAATGCAAGTTCCTTCAAGCGCACCTCCTGTTGGGCGAAGCACAGCCGCTACGCCGAGTGCGAGCAGTGGTGCACCCTCCCAGTCTTTCGGTCACTTGCAGCAGCACCTGCCATTCCAGCAACCAGGTCAAATTGGACAGCCCAAGGCCTCGCCATTGCCGGCCGATCCGCGTGCGTTCGCTTCTCCGGTTTATGGTCATGCTGCAGCCTCGGGTCTGGAAGGTCTGCGTTCTCCGCCTTTGCCCAATGGCCTGCCCGGCGGTATGAACCACAATTTGGAAGGCATACCCTCACCGACTGTTGGAAACGCTGCCACGTCTCTTTCGCAGCTGAGCCTTGCAGGCATGCCCGGACCCCAAACTCACGGCGCACCTCTCTCAGGAGGAAGCGGTGCAGGCGTCGCTGGCCATTCTCGATCGCCATCTTCAGCTCTGGGCAGCGAGCCAAGCTACCGCCCTAGCTCCAACAGCTTCTCCGTGAACCGCGCTGTTCATCGCAGCAACGCTGGGCCCATCGGTCCCATTGGTCGACCTCCGACTGCAGAGCCTTTTGACAGCTCCATTGCTCTTGGCAGCATTGGAGGCGGCATTGGCAGCGGCATCGGTTCTTCAGGCAGCTCCGCAATCGGATCAGGTGTCGCTCGTGCTCCCAGTCCCAGGTTGCCGGATGGCATTCTGGGAAGCTCAGCCCTCGGCGGTGATGACGAGCTCGTCCAGCCACAACCTCGGCGCACAAGTCACGCTACAGCACCCGGTGCAGGTGGTCCTTTCTTCAGTGGTGCCAGTGCTTTCGGCGCAGCTTCGCCCTGGGGTCCTGCTCGCGCGTCACAAGGTGCGCCCACTGGTCTTGGCGGGCTCGGCGCCTCGCTCGCCTCCCCTGGAGGGGCATTTGGAAGTCTTGCTTCGCCCGGGCCTATGCCGACCAGCGCAGCTTCAGGATCAAGCTTTGCTGCCCCTGACCCTTGGGCCAGAGCTGCAAATGGCTGGGACCGTGCTAGGACTGCTTGGGAGCCTGCGCCGATGGCTCATGCAGCTGGTGGCTTTGGTCCGCCAGGTTCAGCAAATCAGAGACCGGGAGGCGTGGGCAACAGCAGCGGAAGTGGCAGCGGTAGTGGTGGTTACGGCGCGCCCGGCAGCGGATTCTGAGTGCGCTTTGACCACCGCAACCGCAATCTCATGACCAATTGCTTCACCCTCGCGTCTCACGAAATGCTCTTCCTTCGCCTTGCCGCCCCGTCTTTTACACATCATCTCGCTCCTCTCCCTTCTCCGCACGTCCACCATTCGTGCCACTTCATCCCCACTTCGTCTCGTAAGTTTCGCAAACGCCGATGCGCCATAACAAAATCGATCTATTCCTTGCTCTGCTTCTCACCGCACGGCAAAGCGCGCTGTATGTGCGGCATGGTACCATCAGCACATCGCTCAGGCTGTGGTCGATTCATGAATTTGAGTAGCGCGACGGCAAATTACGAGCCGAGAATCATGAGCCAATCAACAGGACTGTTTGGACTTGGAAATGTGCACAAGGAGGTCGAGCGTCTAGTCTGAAAGGGTTTGGAAGTTCTGCTCGATCTGCTGATTGAGCTTGTCCAGCTCGGATTGCACTGATTCCTCGCCATCACCAGGGTGCAGGAACTGTTTGAGAAAGGATTGATGGAAAAGCGTGAGTAGGCAGCAGCGATGCATGTGGATTGCAGTCGGAGGCTCACCTTCATCTGGGTCAGACCATGAATGACGTCGCCAGAGTGATCGCGGATCTTGGCCCAGCTCATGTCAGGATTCGAGTTGATGGCAGCCTGCGCCTTGTCGTAGAAGTCCACCAAATTCTTCAGCATACCGCTGTAAAATGTGTAATGACCGCAACAAAGACAAGGATGATGTCAGTCGCCTGACCTGATGGAATCAAGGAGGCTCAAGACAACTTACGCAGACTTGTAGAAGGGGCAGTATTGGTCCCAAGCACTGATACCGTTTTGAGCCAAGAAATCGTTCTTGACAATGTTGGCAACCTCCAGCGTCACTTTGTCGTTCTCACCCAACGCGCTCTTGCCGACCAGCTGCACAATTTCTGCAAGACTGGTGTCTTGCTGAAGCAAGTCCTTCGCAGTAGATCGAAGCTTGATAAAGCCTGGAGAGTTCTTCTCGTAGTGGCCTTCCAATGCTTGCACGTAATTCGAGTATGATGCATCCCAGTTGACGGAGGGGAAATGCTTGCGCTGAGCCAGCTTCTTGTCCAAACCCCAGAAAGCGCCCACGATACCAAGGGTGGCAGAAGTGACAGGGTCTGAGAAGTCTCCTCCTGGTGGCGAGACGGCTCCGACAATGCTGACACTTCCTGTCCTTTCTGGAGAGCCCAAGCAGGTGACTTTACCAGCGCGCTCGTAGAACGAGGCCAGCTTCGCTCCGAGGTAGGCAGGGTAACCACTGTCTGCTGGCATTTCTGCCAATCGACCGCTGATCTCACGCAGAGCTTCTGCCCATCGAGAAGTGGAGTCCGCCATCATGGCAACGTTGTAGCCTTGGTCTCGGAAGTACTCCGACAGGGTGATACCTGTGTAGATGGAGGCTTCACGGGCTGCGACGGGCATGTTGGACGTGTTGGCCACGAGCGTCGTACGTTTCATGATGGGCTGCTCTTTGCCGTCACGGGTCAAAGTCAATTCTGGGAACTCCGCCAAGACTTCCGCCATCTCGTTACCGCGCTCGCCACCTGATGAACAAGGACCAAGCTTGTCAGCTCGAGCTGGACAATCTTTCGTGTGGCAAGTAACCCTCGCATACTCACATCCGACGTAAGTGATGATGTCCGAGTTGGAGAATTTCGAAAGAGCTTGAGAAATGACAGTCTTTCCGCAACCGAAAGCACCGGGAATGGCAGTGGTACCACCTTGAATGCAAGGGAAGAGTGTGTCAAGCACTCTCTGACCTGTGAGTAGGGGCTGATTTGCGACGAGCTTCTCAGTGGTAGGTCTGGGTGCACGGACTGGCCACAGCTGCATCAAAGAGTGCTTCGACTTTTGACCTTGGAAGTCGACCTCGAGCACAATGTCGTCGACGTTGTAGGATCCCGCCTCGGCGATGCTGGTGATTGTACCCCTAGCTCTTGGACCCAGCATGATCTTGTGGTCCGTCAAGAGCGTGTTCTCAAAGACGCTACCGAAGATGTCACCACCAGAGATGTGGTCTCCGACTTTGAGGTTGGTGGGCTTGAAGTCCCACTGCAGCTCTCGGTTCAAAGCTTGTGTGTTGATGCCTCGAGCTACAGTTGGGGAACGAGATTCAGAAAGGAGATTTGACTCATTTGAGAGTGAGAGCAATCTCCAACTCACGAATGTAAATGCCCTGACTCTTCTTCATAATGCCTTCTAGTGGTCTCTGAATCCCTGCACGCGAGCGGGGCCATCAAGTCACAGCGTCAGCCACTTCATCAAACAGCTCGTAGCACCTTCGTGATTGCATCGCTCGATCATCCTACTCACCATCGTAGATGTTCTCCATCAAGCCAGGACCCAGCTCGACGGAAAGGGGTTTGCCGGTAGAGAGCACGGGGTCTCCGACAGATACACCGCTCGTCTCTTCATAGACCTGGATAGTCACCTTGTCCGCATCAATACGAATGATTTCTCCCACGAGCTCGTCATGTCCCACTCGAACCAGCTCGTACATCTGAGAGCCGATCATGTTCTCAGCAATCACGACGGGTCCAGATACACCAAACACCGATCCGAATCTTCCCTCTCTCTCCTCATCACGGATCTGCAAGCAACTCGGGCCGGCTCGTCAGCGTCGGACATGACTTGTGCGTGACTGACGGGGGTGCAGACTCACCTTTGGGAGGTTCTTCTTCGCGTTCTCCATTGCGCCGGCCATGATGGGCAGAGTCCTGTTCGGGTACTGCTAATCGCAAGGAGTGTGATCGAAGGAAGACTTTGGCGTGTGGCAGACTCGGCAGGTAGGATTAGGGTGATGACAGAGGCGGGCCGATGTCAAGGTGAGCGCAGCGCAGACTTGAAGGTAAATTTGGAGTGAAGAGAGCTCAAGCAAGGTGTCCCTGAACGAGTTCAAGTGATGTTTCCAGCATACAGTCAAGAATTTGAATACATGCTGTGACGATGGCCCTGCTGCCTGTGTAGCTCGATCTGCTGCATGGCGGTGGCCTTGGGTCAGCGTTGGGCGCGCCGAAAGGGGTGCGCCCGCCCAGTGCGCCCAAGCCATGCAAGCCAATCCAAGCCCAGCAGCCGTGGGACCAGCAGAGCGAGCAACGCAGGCCAAGGCACGTGGGCGGCGTGCACGGACGCCTGAGCTCACCCGCTACGCACCGCCTCACTCGGCTGCTCGTACCTCCAATCGTGAGTCACGAGTTCGACTTGCGTTTGAGAGTACCGTCAGTGGTACATGCGAATCGTTCATTTCACGATCATCGGGGATCAGGTGGCGATGACAACATCCACCGTCGTTTATCGCTGATTCTGCTCCCAGCGACTGGCAGCTTATTCGTCGAATTGCAACCCACATCGTCCGCATTTGGATTACCAGTCGCAGTGTCGACGTGAATACGCAAGATGGCGAGCTGCTTGTCCTCGCTCCGATCCTTCGTTGGTCGAGGGGCGGACGAGAAGTACACGTTCGACGACGGTCGATCTTCATCCGCTTCGACATTGGTCGAGGACAAGGCAAGTCTTTCGCTTTCAGAACCAAGCAAATATGGCACATTGAAGGTCGATAATGATGTGCTGAGGTCCAAAAGGTGTTCCTCACGAGATACTAAGACGCAGCTCGATGCGCTGCGCAGGGTGATGAAAGAGGAAGGTATACAGGCGTACATCATTCCTAGCGAGGACGCGCACGGCAGCGAGTACACCGCAAAGACGGACGAGAGACGCGCTTTCATCAGTGGGTCAGTCGGAAGTGTAGCTTGTGCACGACAAAGCTGGCGCGGAGAGGGAAGATCTCTGATGTGCCTTGGCTCGCGCTCCCTCTACAGGTTTACTGGCTCTACGGGGATCGCAATCGTGACGCTTGACGGAGCGCATCTCTTCACGGATGGAAGATATCACGTTCAAGCTCAGGAGCAGCTTGATTCAAATTGGACTCTGCACAAAGTGGGAGTCTACGGCGTGGCTGATTGGGCCGATTGGCTCGTCGACGAGGCTTCCAAAGAGGCCGTCGCAGTCGGCGTGGATGCGACGCTCGTCCCGTTCAGTGAGGAATCATAACATCTCACAGGCGCCTTTGAGCCATTCAGACTTGAGAAGCTGATCGACGCACAAACTCGCTTTTGACACCTCAGCTACATTGGCAGCGCTATTTCCCCGCCTGACAAGCCGCAATTCCTCTCTACAGTTCCCTACCCGGAATCTTGTGGACGAAGTCTGGAGCAGCAGGCCACCACCAAATTTGACGCATATCTACGCACATCCATTGAAGTATGCAGGAGTGACGGCAGGGGACAAGTTGACGAGAGTGGTGGAATGGTTGAAAAGCAAAGGCGCAGCTGGAGATGGAAAGAACTTTCCCGAGGGCAGCGCGTTTTTCACTGCTGAGCTTGATCAGATTGCTTGGCTATTGAATCTGCGCGGTGCAAGCATTCCGGGTAGTCGTGAGTATAGTCTGGTGGTCCAAGTTGCATCATCCAGCAAGCGTCTGATCATACGCGTCCTATTGCAGCTTTGTTTCCGGCGTATCTGGTCGTGTCTTCCAAGAGCTCGGAACCTGTAAGAGGCTACCTTGCAACCCTCTTCGTCTCTTCGCTGCTCTTGTTGCCCGGTTCCGATGTGCGCAAGTATGTGGAGAGTCTCGGCGTCGAAGTAAAGGACTACGCGGACGTGTTTCCATGGCTCTTGCAAGGTCGTTGGCAGGGCGGCGAGCAGCCCAGCAACGTCGACAGCGATGCTCGAGCCAGACCTACTTTGGTAGCGGGAGAGAAGGTCAGCTACGCGGTAGTCAACGCTGTCGGAGAGGTGAGGATACTGCCTATCGAGGCCGCCTGTTGCAACATCATCGCACTGCTGATGGTTCCATGATCGCTCGCAGCACCGTGTCGACCTATTGCCCTCGACACCGATAGCGATCTGGAAAGCGTGCAAGAACGAGGCCGAGCTTGCTGGTATGAGGGCTGCCTATCTACGCGACGGAGCGAGCTGGGCGCGCTGGGCTGCATGGCTTGAGGAGGCTGTCCGCAGAAGGCACAGGAAGGTGGACGAGTGGCAAGCTGCGCAACAGCTGCGAAGCGTCCGGGAAAAGGATCCTCTGTACGCTGGGTTTGATGCCTACCCAAGCATCTCGGCGAGTGCTGAGGATGCAGGTGGGTGGAGAGAGGGCCAGGACTTCGCTTGATCAAACCGCATCGGCCTTAGTCTCCTCATTCTTGTCTTTCCTAAAGCTCTACCACATTTCGAGACACCGGAGGATGGATCGGCCCGTGTAATCGACAGACTGACACCCTATTTGATGGACAGTGGAGGTGAGCTTCTCAAAATCGTGGGCAATTCTGGCCACCTGGATGCTGACACAGATCCGGTCACGCAGGGCAATACTTTGATGGTGAGTAAGATGTCTAATTGAGCCATACGCTGCTCAACGTTACTCAGGCGTCGAGCGGTTCGACACTAGGCACGATCGACACGACTCGCACCGTGCATTTCGGCAAACCCACAAGCGAGCAGAAACGAGCCTTTACTCGGGTCCTGCAAGGCCAGTGCGTACCGGTGCTGTAGCCGCGGTTCGGTCCATACGCATCATTGAGATTGACTGAGGCTTTTATTTCCTGCAAATGTAGTATTGCCATTCAGCAAGCCGTGTTTCCCCGAGGCACTACTGGAGCCACGCTTGACTGTCTGGCAAGACAGCCATTGTGGAGAGATGGATACAATTACTTGCACGGGACCGGACATGGGATTGGCGCGTTTGGAAATGTCCACGAGGGTCCGCAAGGGTTCAGCCAGAGCTCTGGTGGTGCGCTTATCCCCGTGCCGCTTCAAGAGGTGAGCGATGATTGCTTGTTCCTTTCTGTTGAATTCTCTTACGATTATCGCCCTCCTCCTCATGTCCAAACGAATGCCAGGGCATGTGCATCGTGAGCGCCACAGCCTTCCGTTCGTATGTGCGACTTCGCTGACCACCTCGCATTGCCTTTCTCAGTCCGATGAGCCCGGACACTACGAAGCCGGCAAGGGAGGCTTTGGCATTCGAACGGAGAGTATCTTGATTGTCAAGCAGGCAAAGACGCACAGAGGCTTTGGTGGAGAAGATGTGAGTATCGCTGGAGCAAGGCGAACGAGCATCTCGCTCACAACCGCCCCCTCGGTGCTCGCGCTTCCAGTCCTGGTTGGAGTTTGAGAACATCACGCAGGTGCCAAGTGAGTCATAATTGCCCGACCAAGATATGTTTGCTGTCGTGCTCGCTCACCCTATTCTTTGCGCCTTTGCTTGCGTATTTAGTCGCGCGGAATTTGGTGGAGCATCAGCTGCTCACACCTAACGAGCAGGCGTGGCTGACGGAGCACAACGACAAGGTGAAGCGAAATGTTCTTCCGCTGGTAGCGGATGACAAGAGAGCAATCAAGTGGCTGCAAAGCCAGTGAGGTTGCAGCCGAGAATGATGACGCACCGCGATTCTCGAGGCCCAGGCATTGCGATGGAATATCTGCACGAAGACAATGCGTATGCATCTTTGAAGCTTTTGCTCAGGTCACGGTAACCAACAATGAAGCGAGCCTAAAATCTTTACAGGTCAAGACCATGACTGTGAATTATGTCTGCTGTATGCCAACGCACACTATGCATGGGAGACAGACAGCATGAGCGTTGGCGCTACAGTGTTTCGGATGAGTCGTGGCTGAGACGTCAATCGCGTACGTCGGCTGATGACCGCGCCTCAGCAGACGTGACTGAGCGCGACACGAAGGCTCCAACAACTCAGCACCAGAAACTGTTGTTGCATGGGGGGAAGACCGTGCGAATTTTGTAGGCATAAGTGCTTCGCTATCATTACGTAGAATTGGTGATGTTGCGCAAGACTTGCACATGCTACTTGTACTGCCTCCACGAGTCCGTTGTGGTCTTGTCAAACTGGGCCCGCATCCACTCGCCGTGGTGGTATTGGTGCTGCCTCGTTGATCGCTCATAAGAGTACGCAGCCTCAACACATCACGCATGGCCACCTAATCTTCTTGCTGTTCAGCATCGCATTCACGACAGAAGCGACTCGCGCAAGGCCAAGATGCTGCCGCCGTTTGCTCTGAGGACCACCCACCGCTCCCCCAATGGCGGTCCAGCACACGGCACTCCAGCACCCAAAACGAAGTCCACGCTTACACACCGACTCGCTCCACGTTTGCAGAATGGTGAGTTGCGTGCATGCATCCAGTCCGCTTGCATGCGGCGAGTACCGCATACATCTGCAACGGCTTCTTGAGCTCTGTAATACATGGTCAAGCAGAACTTCCCCAGCGCCAAGACGCCTACAAGAGCGCCGGAGGGCCGCAGCGATATAAGACTACCGCTGCGTCTCCTCGGACAGCATCGCTCTCCACCAGACTTGTTCAAACAGTCACGCCCGCAGCGCGAACCCAACAAGCAGTGAGATCCTCCACGCCAAAGAACCCGCACATATGTGAGTCTGGATGGTGTATCGGAACTTGACTGCTGTGCTGCGTGCTCATCAAGGCGGCTGCTCGTTCTGGAACAGACCGTCATCGTCAACATGTCAACGCCAAGAACCGCACTGCTGCGGAGAATGGAGGCAAGACGTCCATTCCCTTGGCCCAAGAGGAAAAGGATCGCATGCACGATTCCTCGTCCGAGATGGATGAGACAGAAGATACGGCTAGCATGCCCAGTACGCCATCGACAAGCAGTCGTATGCGAGTGGCCAGGAAGGAACTTTAGATGTTTGAAAAGAGTCTATTGCTGACCAGAGCATTGTCGCCTCGGCAATCGAAGGGTCGAAGCGCGCGCGATGAGAAAGAAGCTACACGACGAGCTCCTCAAGGACTTAGCGCGTTGGTATTTGGCGCTCAATCCGGCTGTATGCCCTGGATGACTGAGCTACGACGTTATGTTCTCTCCTCCCAGGACCACTTGAAGAGTTGGATGAGTTGGGAGCCGTCCCCGAAGCGGACAAAATTTACGGCGAAATGAAAAGTGAAGGCCGTCTAGCAGGGAACATTTGACGAGAAGCTGTCTCGCTGACGGTAAATATTATGTCCAGCGGTGACGCGACAAATGGTCCAGCTCTCTATCGATCTTATGTCAGTCAGAGCTTCTCCACGTCTGCTGAGACTGCGAAACTCATCGATGATCAAGCACCAATTTCACAGGACCAACGCGAACAGCATTTCGAGCTGCGCGAAAGCCGCGTCGAACGAAGTTGGACAGATGGCTGCAAACTTCCGCTCAGGTGCAGGAAGTCGTCTTGACTCTCTCAATTCGAAACTCGAGGAGTTGGCGTCAGTTTCGTCCAGACTTGGTTCGTCGAGCAGCTGCAAAAATTTGACGCTCTCGTGCCTTTCCACTTCACCAGAGGATTATACGAAGCGCGTCACAAGCGCCGTGAGCTTTGGCACAGCGAGACCAGAAAGCTGAGTGAGTTGATGCACCTAATCGGAGATAGGAGAGGGCCCCCGCATGAGCGCTGATCGCAGTCGCCTCCAATTTGTTTCACAGTCGAGGAGCACAAGGCTCGCATTGCCAAGCTCAAGCGCAACTTTGCAGATGAGCAAAAGCTATGTCTCGATCAGCTCGATAACAGCCCTCAAGACCATCAAGCTCAACAAAGCGAGTACAGGGCTTTGCGCGCGCACGCCACCGCATAGCTTCGCACGCTCTTCACTCTCTGTAGCTCACCTTGTCTCTCTGTTCTGTTCTTCGCAGACCTGCGCCAGGCAATCGCAGTCATGCTTCAAGCCATGTGAAGCCACCTTGATCCCTTGCGAAGGATGGTCAAAGACCCGAATCTGGCAACGCAACCCAGCCACTCTACGATGACAGACGACGAATTGCGCAGCAGCTAAAGCAACAAGAAGCATAGCGTAATTTCATCGAAATTCAGTGCTGTTCATGCAGTCAAATGTCCAGAAAATGTACTTTGATCTGAAAGGTGTGATCGAGAGGGGTATACAGCTCGATGCGGCTGGGCGCTGTGAAAGTCAAAATGAGCACGAGAAATTGTGATTCTGATCGCTCTGGCTAACTGCCAGGCAGAGGAGGTGCAATTTCGGTCTTGAAGAGAGGAGCACGGAATGACATGACGCTAGGGGCGCGTCGGAGGCCATTGGACGCTGAAGATGCCTCGGTGGCGTTGCTTGCTACACTGAGCATGCTGCCCTTGCGCTGTATGCGGTGGCTGTTGGGCGACGACGCCATTTCACCCTCTCTAGAGCCACTCGTACGAGCAACTAGAGCTGCTGACGCACTCGCAACTCTTCCTTCGCTGCCAGGTGTCCCTCCAGGCGTCAAACTCGCCGCGTTTCTGGTAGGGGTTGTATTGGGAGAGCAGCTTTCGCCGCGGAAATCGCGGAGAGCAGTCTTGCGATGCTCGAGCATGGCAATCTTGTCACGGACGGACGGTACGACGATAGAGCTGCCTCTCAGCTTCATTGTGCTCTCTGACCGATGTAGTCGGTCGGCGCTTTGTGATGGCGTCAAGTTACTCCTCGCAGGACTGTGTTCAGGGATGGCGCTGCTTGAGCGCGTCGGAGTAGTAATGACTTGCTTCGTTTGAGGTACATGAGCGCGCAAAGCTGTCAAGGTCTCATCACCAACCCCTGCCGTTCCGGCGTCATCGACGATCCTTGATGGCAATTCTTCGCAAGCGCTTTCGGGCGTTCGCGCTTCGGATGCACTCGATGCCGGTGACGAAGACCTCGTGTCGATGCTGGCAGTGCTGCTTGCACAAGACTCTCTCCGAGCGTTTGACACCTGGCGTTTGCCTTGGTTGGGCTCGTCCTTTTTGAGGGTCTTGGGAAGGTTGGCCTTGGTGGGCGAGGCTGGCACAGCCTGGCGGCGAGACTCAGTGGTCTTTCTTGGCGAGGCGAGACTTGAATTTGAAGGTGAAGCTTGGATCGCCTCGGCCATCTGCGAGGGCGCGACTTTGGCACGCAGCTTGAAATGCGCCACAGGTCCAGCAGTGAGAGACGAGGATCCGGCTGTAGCGGACTTTGACTTGAGTGGGGCGTCCGCAGTCGCGAATGTGAAGCTCGACTTGCCTTTCAAAGCCGACTTGGTGGGTGCTGGAGCTGACTTGCTGGGCGAAGGAGGCCGAGAGGCTGTCTTGACGTTGGAAGTGCGCGTCAAGTTCGAGCCTTTGCGAGGAAGAGAGCGCTCCTGCTGAAGTTTAGCCGCAGGCACCTGTGAGCTTGGAGTAGCCTCGTGCTTGAGAGGTGCCATCTTGGACGGCGATCGGGCGATGGGCGTACGGGCATCGTCGTCCTCGTCACAGCGAGAGTCGGTGGCCTGTTGCGACTCAGAGATGACAGCTGCGTTAGCCATTTGGCCATGCTGAGCCTGCTGAAGTCGCGTTGCCTCGCGCTGCTGCATGATTGTCAGGCGAGCTTGCAACCGCTCCTCTTCCTCGTCATACTCGTCATCTTCTCTCGGGGTCTCAGTAGAGGGAACCTCGGCATCTATAGACTCATCCGACAGATCCGCCTCGTCGACGCTAGTAGCAGCGAGTGAAGAAGCGTAGTAATTCGAAGAAGAGACAAAGTCTGGTGAGTGAGTGCTCAATTGAGCTGAGCCAATGACTTCCTGGACTTCATCGACGCTTTCGTCATTGAGGTTGAGCGTACGGTCTCTCTCATCTTCGTAGCCTTGTCCATCATCCGAGTCATCATCGACATCGTCGAGCGGCACAGAAGCGACTTGCAGCAATGGGACCGGCACGCCGTATCCCATGGCTTGTATCTGCTGCTGCATGATCATGTGCTGCATTTGCTGCATCTGTTGATGCTGCTGAGCGTCGAATGGAAGACAGCTTGGATCGATGGCATCTTCGGATGAGCCAGAGCTGGCTCTGCCGCCCGATCGATCTTGAGGGCTGGAGTTGTCCGCCTCTCCTTCGGAGTTTGCGCCTTCTGGAACATCGATGCCCAGGCCCATCGGCAGATTGCTCTGGGAAATGCCTCCAGCGCCACCGCGTCGAGCGGTGGCGCTTCTGATGGCATGATTGATGAAGTCTAAAGATTTCTGGTGCTGCAAGCGGCGGGCGCTCGTTGCTTCGGGTGGCTTCAAGTGCTGCTGCTGCTGATATTGTTGCTCAGCTCGTGCTGACGGTAGGGGTAAGTGGGAGGAGGCAGGGCCATAGTCCATTCTTTGAGGGCTTCGCAACGCCTCGGCTGAGCGGACCCGCTCAATCAAGGGCGCATCTGCAGCTGGCGATGATCCAGAAGCAGGACCGACGCTAGAGTTCCACGATCGAGCGAGGTTGCAGTCCGCCCCGTTCTTCCACTTCGGCGCTTTGAGGGGAGGAGGATCGAGAGAGACGAAGTTGATAACCCGCAAAGGAAGCTCCACAGAAACATCAGCGGACAAGGAACTGCTGACGGAAACCTTGACCGAATAGGTCACCTCGACATGGCGTCCTCGCGAAATGCTGAGCGCATCCGAAGGCACACGCATGTAGTGGGAGAATTCCAAAGCTTTGTGGGCCTCGACGCCGGTCCACCAGCCTTTTGCGGTGAAGGAACCCTTTGTGCCCTTCTGGCCCATCTCGAGCGTTTCCTCGCTAATCTTCTTTCTGCTGGTGGCTGTGTTGCAAGCATCCGGATCGACGTAGGCTTCGTGTGGCTTATCCGGTACCGATTTGCCCAGGTCGAGCTCAGGTCGTGGGCGGAATAGCACGACGGTGCGGACCAAAGCTAGCGTGATGTTTTTAAGCTGAGGTTTAGGGCAGAGTCAATATGTCTGCCGCCCGCTGCTCTCACTAATCAATGCGAGCTTACTCACTCTCTTGCTCGTGTCGTTGTTGATATTGATGTTGACGTAGACACGTTGACCAGCTACCCAGGTGGAGCGGTGCAAGCTAGCAGTGAGGTGTACCTTTCCAGAGCCGCCTAGGAAGAGGCTCTTGCTGGCACGCGCCTGTACTGGCTTGGACGCAGACGAGAGCACTACGGCAGGGTTCAAATAGGGGAACAATTCGACGTGGCGGTAGAAATGAGCAATGGACCTGTTGGAACCATCAGCATCCTTGAGCTTGACGGAGCTGTTGAGGTAGGGTCGAAATTCGAGGGTCAGAATCAACGTTCTATGTCTGTTGTCACTGAGCCACTCACCCAATGACGATGTAGCGAACAACGGCGTGCTTGCCACGGAAAGCACCTTTTGCGCCCTTTCCGACCGGCATCTCGAGCGTAAACGGAATGGAGTGGTTGCCTTCTGCACCAATATAGTAGCCTTCCGAGTCAGGTGCAGATGCGAAACACGGGAGCGGAGCTCTGCCTTCAGCTTGCGGAGAGCACAGGTCGGGGCTGCCGTGCAGCACGTACGGCTCCGAAGGACCGCCGTCAGATCGATCGCCGTCGATGGCCGTAGCGTGGTGGTAGAAGATGTGGCGGGTGTCGTCATTGAGCAGCTCTTCAAAGCCAACGATGCGGATTTTCGGCTGCGCAAGCATCAGCGCTGCTGCCTTCTTGTCTGTCGGTTTGCGCAGCTTGATTTCCAGTCTTCCGCGCAACATGCCGCCCTCGACGATCAAATCGCTCTCGAGCACGACGTCCACATCCACGCGAGCTTTTCCAGAGCGACCCTGCTCGAGGACTGCAGGTGGTAGCGCAGCGGCTTGCGCATCGCTGAGGCGATCGGAGGGGTTGCTGGAAACCTCAGAAGAGGCGGCAGCGCTTCCAACCGAAGAGCCCAGAGCAACGCCTGAGGTGGGTACAGGCTTGCCAGCTTTGGTGGCGGCCGGGTCCAGAAGGCGGCTCAAGTCCCGCGAGCGTCGGGCCGTGTTGCCTGCCTGGCTCAGCAGTGTAGGATGTCGCTCCAGCCCAGAGACATTGCTAGCAGCCGCCGACATGCTTTGGCTTCGGGGACGTGACGATGCAGCGCTAGCAGCCGCGACTCTGTTGCGCTGTTGGGCGGCACCGGAGCCCTGCGGCGTCCCGCCAGCGACAGACTTTCCGCCGACGTTGCTGATGCTGTCACCAGGACCAACTTCTGTGCCCGAAGCGCAGCCGGAGAATTCATCGCTCTCAGACGGTCTAGCCGAGCTAAGTATACTCTCTTGATCAGAGTTCTTCACTCGACCGGGAACGATGTGCTCGCCCATTTGATAGCTAGAATGAAGTGAATCCAAACTGACCATGGACTGACCTCGCTCCGCACCCTCAAGACCGTTGAAGCCACGCAGGCTTCGCATGCGCACAACGTTCTCAGCTCCATGAAGATTGCTGACCTCTTTCGACGTGGAGCCAGGCGGCGAGAACATGTGTTGGGCACGAGGACCGCCACTCTGACTACGTCTGTGGCTGTGTATTGAGCTTTGTTGAGTTTCCGATGCTGGTGGGCTTGGTCGAGCAAGCCTGCCTTCAGAGTCAAGCGAAGCGGTCACCTCGCCATTCGCGCCGTAGAAGCTTCCGACACGAAATCTGGCCTGAGCAGTCGCGGGTCGTCTCTGATGACCCTCGGGACGCTGCGGAGGCCCGCGGGGCATAGCACCCGGTACATTCTGGGTGCCGTGGTTGTCCGATGTCATTAAAGCGGACTGCTGCTGGGCCGTATCAGCGCGCAGAGCTGGGCCGTCAAAAGCGGGGACCTCGTTCGCCTCTGGTCTTTCAGCGCTCGCTTTGTTCATTTGTTCGTCGGCCTGATCGGCTGGCGCCCATCCACCAAAACCGTCAGGGACCATGCGTGGTTCCTTTGCGCTCTTGGCCGATTCTAAAGTTCGAGCACGCACTCGTGGTCCGCGTTGGCTGCCACGACCGATCTCCGTGGTGCGTCCCAGCTGTGCAGCTCCGCCGGAGTACGCTGAGTTCAGAGACATCTGCGAGCGACTGCGACCCATCGCTTGAGTTTGAGCGTTCAGCTGGATCGTTTGCGGAAAGCGTATGGTGCTGCTGCGACTTAGTATTGGTTGACTGGCTTGCTTGCGGATAGTTTGGGCCCGACGAGCGGCGCTAGACCTGGCTGAGCTTGCCTCGCTTGCACCGTCTTGTACCGAAGAGGTGTATGAGGATGCTGGTGTCAAGATATCGTCATCTTGATCCTGCTCTGCATTGAGCTTCGCGACCGCGGCACTCAGCCTCTCGGTGCGCCCCCCACCACGGTCGGAGCCATAGCCGCTGCTGCGAGTGCTGGATACCGAAATTGAGCTTGCGGAGTCGAGAGCAGAATCTGGGCTTGCCTGGCTGGATTGTGGGGTAGCACCCATGATGTTGGGAAGCCCACTGGCGATGCGTACGCGTCGATCCACGCTGCTGGCCGGACGACGAGGTATGCCCGCATCGCTGCCGCTGCTGCTTGCTGCCGATGAGAGAGAAGCGTACGAAGATTGAGGTCGCGTCGGGGCGCGGTGATGCTGTTGGTGCGACCTCTGTGCCATCAAAGGTGCATCAAAAGAGATGCCGAGACCCGACATGCTGTGCGGATCGAGCGGCAGCAGCAGCGCGTATCTTTGGTGGGCCGGTAATCGCTCTTTCGCTCTTGAAAATGATGGTTTGGCCTGTCGCGAGCGTGCAGAACGCTCAGATGAGATGGTAAGGGGTTGTGAGAAGAGGCACTGCACTGCGGAAGTAGATGAAGAGCAAGTGATTCTCGAGCCGGCTGACGGAGGAGTGGTGGAGACAGAGACTGGAAGTGAGCAAGGTCAGTGATCCGCTTCTGCGAATGCGCTTCTGAGGCTCAGATACAGCAGTCATCGGCGCTTTGTGCATCTTTGGACAGTCAGTCTCGACAACATCTACCTGCTGAAGCCCTTCTGCCTCACACTCCTGACTCGGAGCTGCGAGAACAAGACGCAGCATGCATTCAGGCAGACCGCACTACCTAAGGGTGCAGTTGACTGACAGTCCAGTTGTGCTGCGGAGGCCCGGTCGATGGTGCACCAGCGCACCTTTATCGCTAGCAGAGCATTCTTGCTGTGAGATCGCTCATCCTGTACGGTACAGTAGCGCGGCTGGTCGACGGTGGCGTGCCGGTGCACGTCGAGCGGCCTGCTGTGCATCTGTCAGCCATCAGCGCCAGCGCAGTCACAATGCTAGTGAGAGGTCATTCGGGGGACTGAGAGAGGAGGTGCGGCTTGAACGCACAACTCGTCCGTTGTGGAAGTTGAGAGCCAAGCGCGTGGGCGCGCGCTTCGCAGATGGCACAAAGCTGCGCACGTCCGATGCTCGACCGCCCGACGCGTCATGTCACCGCGCTGCTCGCTAGCGGGTACAGTCGTGAGTGCTGGACGACCATTCTCATCGTCATCATTCGACACTTCCTGCCACCTCCTGAGGTGGCGCTTTCAACATGCAAGCAAGCTGAATGATCAGGGAGGCTGAGTACTGCGCGCACGTGACATGAAGGAGTGGGAACAACGGATTACCGGGAGGTCTTGGTTCCCTCGAGGCTCAAGCCGCAGTGAAAGCCGTATTGTAGCAGCCCTCATTTCTAGCGCGTGTACATGCTGGTCAATCCTTTCACTACACACACACACACACACACACCACTGTACTCAAGACAGGAGTACCAACGCGAAAGACGAAGGAAGGTTGGCATTGCGCCTTGCAGGCCTACCTAGCAATGGCCTTCAGAGCTTCCTGCCTGATCTGAGCACATATGAGTTCCGTTAAGCCACCTCCCTGCACGGGAGCAAGTTCTACGCTGACGTCGAATGCTCTACCGACGCTGACATCGGAGATGGGTATATGCGCATTGGACAGCAATGCCAGAATGTAGCACACCCTCGCGATCGCCTGCATGGTGTGAGGTGGAATGCTCTGTATAGACCACGGCCACCGCGCTGTCAGCAAGTAATAGTGGCGCATGCCAAGAGTGTGAAAGCGGCTTTGACCGGCTCACCTCGTTGACGTCGCTGTACACGCCATCAATGTCCATTCCTACGCCCCTTCCAGCCAATCCTGTACTCATGCTGGCAGATTCCTGTTCTTGCTCAGCTTTGGTGGCATCATAGTCCGAATGCTTAGACACCCAGATGAATCCGTTCAGTCCAATCGTAAGATCCAGATCGACCGAGTCGTCCCTCTTGAGATGAACGAAGTGACTCTTTAGGCGACGTATCAGGACAGGCTGCACGATCGCTAATTGACCATTTCGAAGTTTGCCATAGCGCAGGCTTCGAGTGTGCAGAGCTACCGCTCCATCCTGAAAAGCCGTCTGCACCTCCGCAACCAGCAGGTCCTTTTCCTGGAAAAAGACTCGCATTTGCAGCTCGTCTGACTCCAATTTTCGTCTTTGTACGCCTCCAGGCAAATTGACAGAGGAGAGAGAGAGCACAGCATCTTGCCTACTGGCAATGTCGACTTTCCACCTCCTCTGACCTGCCGATACCTCGGTGATGCGTCCCACGACCAGATCGCCCACTTCTGGCGCGTATCGACATCTGACCGGGCTGACGCTGATCAGCCTGTTCGTCCTCGTCACCGTTCCGCACAAGCTCGAGATGATCGAAGCAGCTGAACCCTCGTCTCCCTCGACGCTGGACAAGTAAGCGCCATGCCCACGCATGAGCGAGGAAGCCGAAGCGATAGCCTCTCCAGCCGTCGCCACTTTGAAATTTTCTGCCGTCGAACCTGCTTCCCCGTCCATGTAGCCGCGCAAAGCAGCTTGCTCATCCTCGTCGTAATCGACATCCATGGCATCCTTGCTGGAGCTTGCGTGGGCACTGCTGTGGCTGTGACCCGACAGGTGGATGTGCGAGCCGGTGGCCGCAATGGAAGAGCTGCCAGAAGGCGGAAGGACGCGCGAATGAGGAGGTGCGCGGACTACCGTGAAGGCAGACTTGGATGATGGCGTTGCCACAGCCATCGTAGGGTTGGCGTAGTATGCAGCCTAGAGGTGTGAGAGCCAGAGGATGTTGGTTCGCTGAGCTGAGGTTGGGGTGCTAAAGGGGCAGAGTGGCAGGCAGGTTGGCAAACAAGAGCATGGCACTCGGTATAGATCTCGGGCGCATGCAGACGTGCGTTTTCTCAAACAGGCAGCAGATCCCAAATTTCTCATCCTAGCTTCCCGCGACTCGTGACTCCAACTCGTGACTTGCATAGCACGCGCGACGCTTTGCAGTCAAAGTCACGGTGTTGAGCCCCGCAAATTGCAAGCGCAACAGCGTACACCCGTGCTCATCAAAACGCACCCGTCTCCAAAGTCGTGAGTGGTCGCCTTCCATTCTACCCCTCGCATGCATTTCTGATCTCATCAAGCGACAGATAGAATTGTGTCATGGTCAAGCAAGGCCAAGCTAGGCAGATGGCTTTCAAGCAACCTTCAGTGCGTAAAAAGGCGTACGAGAGCAGCGTGTGGAGACAGTCATTAACATTAGAAGCGCATTCACTGCGTATTGTCCATCAAGCAAGCGAAGTGAAAGGGAAGGGGAATTGGGATAGATGGCAGAGATCGGAATCTGTGGGCTCCCAAGACCCTCCGTTTGGTGGCGACTTGCGCAATCACAACGTCGCGGAGCTCATTTTGGCGCAGCTGGGACCGCGTAGGACGTCGAGCTGTTGTGACTGGGAAGTTTGCGTCCGATCCATTTAAGATGAAATGCGGCCACCGCCGACTGAGCAAAATGTATAGGGCTACAAGGTGGTCGGTACAATACTGTTCTCCTCTCTGGTGTGACGCGCCTCTGACGAGGTTTCCGCAGGATTCGTGCTCTTGAAAGCCTGTGTCGATCCTGCCGGCCATGGTTCATCGCCCGCAGCTACCCGTACACCCGCGTCAGGTCTAGGCTGAGACCTTCCCTCGCTGATGTATCCGTCATGTCTGACCAGTGGGCTACCCCACATCCTGTATTCGCGCGAAGGTCCGCCTCCAAAGCTGCTTTGCCACATCGCTTCTCGACCCAAGAAAGCCATGGCGGTCTCCAGCCAATACTCGCTCTTCTTGAGGTAGTGCACGATCACCGTACCCCCGTGCGGTCGGCCCAGATATCGTTTAGCCCGAAGGCGAGCTGCAGCACCGCCACCTTCACGGTGTGTAGGTCGGGGCAGGTGACGCCACTGCGCATCGTCTCTACTTCTCGGATCCATCGGAATATATGCTGGCAAGGCTTCCACCTGCAAGGGAGAGTGTATCGGCGCATGATCACTCCTGCGCAGACTATCTTCTGAAGTCCGCCTCTTGCCACGGCCGCTGCCCCATTGAGGTGTGGTGTCCGAGCTCTTGGTAGACACCGCCCCGGCTGTGCTGTTCAGACTGACGAGAGGGCCAAGAATTGGAAGACCTGTGAGCGCGTCAACATCAACGTCTGATGCGAGCATGCCTTGTCCGCCTTTCCTGTGATCGTTGGGCAATCGCAGCCGAGCATCATCGCTCTCGTAGACGAGCTCGGCCCAAGGCTGCCAACTCTCATCATCTGCATCGCCGCCTTCGACAGCTCCTCCTCTGATCCAGGTGCCAGCCCATCTCCCGCCACCTTCGACCAGAGCTTCCACCTCCTCTTCCACCGTCAGATCATTTCTGGGCGGATAATATTTGCGATGCCACTTGTTGACAGTGCTATAGTAATGGCTCTTCCTCTCACCACCTCTCCAAGCGATTTCTTGCTCGCTCAATCCTTTTCTGGCTTCGGTCTTGATGCGTTCGACATAGTCGGGGAACAAGAAGCCATGCGAATACGGCGTATTTGCCTTTGGGTGGTCGTAGATGTAGCAATGCTCAGACACCCAGTTGATGCTGCTTCGGTTGGGATGCATCGCGATCCACTGTGGTGTGCGGGTATCCTCCTTGCCTTTTGCTGTTCTCTCGACCTCCGGCGTGGATGCGAGCCATTCGACCAGATCCATCGAAAGTGCATACGCTTCTCCAGCCATGAACCATTCCTTGACGAGATCTGAAGGGAGTGAAAAACGGTAATCAGATCAAAGTCCCTGCGCTCCAGAATTCTATGCGCTTCGAATACTCACAGCCCCAGTATGTCAGCCTGCGAGGAGATACTCGCAAATGACGTTCCAATTCTGACAGCACGATAAAGGCATCGTCGTCTGCTTTGACGACGTAGTCGACCTTCTTCCATGCGACCTCGGAAGTAGTTTGGCGATCCTGATCAGACTGCGCAACTGTATGCTCTGACGAGCCTCCTGTTTCCGTACGGACAAGCGAGCGGGGTGCAGATGGCCTCAAAAATGGCATCGTGGCATTTTCAGCCGCCCACTTTAGAAAGGTAAGCGTTTTTTTCGCGCTCATATTCTCGTCCATGTCCAAGACAACGATGTCATTGTGCGCCTCCATCTCCAATGCGACTCGTCTAGCGTATGCTTTGCGCACTTTGCCCAGGATGAACTTGACCTGCACATTGGCGGCAGGCCGACCATCAGGAGTGAGGGGAAGTGTATGAGCGGCGTACGTCGACCGAATCATGCTTCGCCTCTCGAATTTGGAGTCTACCGTCATCACACCGACGATGACGTCCACGGGTGCGAGGGCATCGGCATACGCGTGTGGGAAAGCCATCTGCGACGCGCAGTAGCTTCTCCAAGGCAGCGGTTCCTTGTCCGGGTTGAGAATGTAGATGATGAGCATCGTGACACTTGTCACGAATGCCGCAATGAGCAGGAGCGCAATCATAATCGTGAAGGGATGGATCGGGCCGAAGAATGTCCTGAACGTTTTGCCGAGCAGCGTTGGAATGACTTTGAGAGGATTGGGTACGCCTGCGTGCCGACTCCTCCTCCTTCGCGAATGAGGTGCTCGCGCACGCGGCAGTCCAGATCTCCTGCCGGAGCTAGCATCCGTAAAGTCTTGCATACGCAGCTTGGACCACTTTTGTTGACCATCATCTCCGGCGACGGCGTTCGCATCGCTGCCTCGTCTACCCATCTCTGCTTCCATCAAGGGGGTCAACGGCGGGCTGGTATCCCACTTGTCGCCCTTGCCTCCGGCGATGGTCACTCGAGTGTCCGGTGCGATTCCAGGATTGGCAGATACAGCCTGATAGCCGCTCTTTGTACCAGCCAACGCAGCGCCCCACCCAAAGAAGGATCCAAGCCCTCGCCTGTTCTGTCCTCTCCACGCACTATCACGCGAGTCTGAGCTGAAGCCTTCGTCGCTATCCTCCGACATTGTGGAGGTAGCTAGACCGCTGAGCACTGGCGTCGGAGTTCTTGAAATCAAGCGAGAAGGTGGCACAGAGTAATGATCTTCTACGGACGAAGCATAGCCCCCGACTGTGGATGCGCCGCTTGTACCAGTAGCGACACAATCCTGTGGGCGCCCAACATCGCCGATCGCAATGCTTTGCGAGTGCATGCCTTGCGCTGAGCCCGTCCTACTCGGTGCCCTTCTGATGGCGTAACCATCGGCATGGCTTGCTGCTATGGGAGGACTGCTCCTGCCAACAATAGCGCCGCGAGACGAACTTTCCGCTTCGCCAGTTCCGAGCCAGTACTGTTCGGGACGCGGTGTCATCTGCACCGGCTGATGCTGCGGCTCGCTAAGCCGTCTAGGTACCGGTCCAGGAACCAGAGTGGAGCTGGGGGACTTGGCTGGTTCGTAGGACGGAGCTCGAGACATTGGTGTGCGCTGCGTGTTCACATCTAGCGATAAGCTGCTCATAGCCGGAGAGCCCGTCGAAGAGGGCGGTGAGGGCGAGGGCTGAAATGCTGACCGAAGCGGGGAGGCGTGTTGGGGCGTGTGAGAAAGATGCCTCGCGATGCTAGGATGCGCACTCGGGGTGAGGTTGTTGGTGTTGCCGGCAGCGCTGGTCGATGATGATGCAGATGCTGCTTGCGGCGGAGTCGCACTCCTTGGTAGATCGCTCATCGCGCCTCGCTGGCTCCAATTGCTGACTTCGAGATCGAGTCTGATTGAATGAGTCGACACGAGCGGCGCGTCGGCAGTGTTGCGCGCTCGCGATCAAGGCAGCAGTCCTGGAGCTGGATCTTTGTCGCAGGCCCTCGTTTCAGCTTGCACAAAGGTCCCGAATCTGATGCCGTGATGCTGTGCTCGGGGCTCATGAGCAGGAGAAATGACGCCAGCAATCGAGGCTGTCCGGTGTGCTGCCAAGATTGAGAATGTAGTAGCCGATTGAGGCAGGCAGTAATTTAAGCGGTCGTTGGTCGGTGCAGAAGGGCCTGGTGAACGTGCTGTGCAGCCAGCGCCCGCTGCTGATCCGCGCCCCTTGGAGCCGCGCGCGAGCCTTCAAAGTCAGGGTCGCAGTCAGTCGTGAGTGAGATGAGCGGCTAGGTCGCGTGACGAGCGTCGGGAAACTTGCAGGCAATGGCGATGAGGCGCACCTATGAGCGGTCCGGTGATCGAGCGAGAGAATGATCGTGGTAAGGCGGCGGCAGTGTGGGTGTGATACATACACGCTTGTGGTTCGAATCGGAAACATCGACCACGCACATGCTGCTGGGGAGCGAGTTGGCCAGCGGGAGTGTGAGTGGGTCTGAATCCAAGAATAACTCACGTCACGACTCTTCTGACTGCAACGAAAGAAGCTTCAATCACGGACTGACTGCATAAGACGCGCCTCACCAGTCACAATCGAGTGAGCAGCAGCTGTAGGGCAGCGCGGCCACACAAATCCTCATGCATGATGATATGCGACCACGGCGTCAGTCAAGC